GTTCTGGGGTGGCGAGAACTAGGGTTCCGGGGACTCCAAATGGCCCTGGTGGATGCCACACAGAGGCAAGTGGATGAAAAAGGGCCCCTTTTCTCTTGTTTGTGGCACCTCAGAGGTGGTCGGCTGCTTCAGGATGAAGCTGAACATCTCTTTTCCAGGCACTGGCTGCCAGAAACTCATTGAAATGGACAATGAACGCACACTCTGTAGCCTTTATGAGAAACGTATGGCCATAGAAGTTGCTGCTGATGCTCTAGGTGAAGGGTGGAAAGGTTACGTGGTTTGGATCAGTGGTGGGAATGACAAACAAGGTTTCCCCAGGAAGCAGGGAGCCTTGACCCATGGCCGTGTCCGCCTGCTGCTGAGTAAGGGGCACTCCTGCTACAGACCACGGAGGACTGGAGCGAGAAAGCCCAAATCTGTTCTGGGCTGCACTGTGGACGCCAATCTCAGCGTTCTCAACTTGCTCATTGTAAAAACGGGGAGAAAGGTGTTCCCCGTCTCACTGATACTACTCATTGCCTGGGGCCCAGAAGAGCTTGCAGAATCCACAAATCTTTCAGTCTCTCTAAACAAGATGATGTCCGCCAAGATCTTGTGAGAAAGCCCTCATCAAACAAGGTAGGGAACCAGGACCAATGCGCTCGAGATTCGGCATCTTGTTACTCCACACATCCTGCAACACAAATGTCAGCGTATTGCTCTGAAGAAACAACATGTAAGGCAAATGAGGAAGAGGCCGCAGAATATGCTGAACTTTTGGCTAAGAGAATGAAGGGGACGATAAAACTGCCAGGAACCGGTTGCCCAGAGACCAGGCTGTCCTCTCTGAGAGCCTCCCCCTCTAAGTCTAAGTCCAGGTGAAAAGGAGATTTTCTAAGAGTAACAAATAAATAAGAACAGACATTTAAAAAAGAAAAAGAAAAAGAAACTGTTTTCATTACCTCAAGCAGCAGGGTTCAGTAAGAACCTTGCTTCATGGAAATGGGGGCGTGACTGGGAAAGAGGGGCTGTTGGGGCGTCGTCAGGCTGAGCGTCACGGTCGCGGAGGCTGGGAAGCTGCTGAAGACACTGAAAAGAAGATGGGACCATCTGACAGGTCCAACGGGCAGCTAAAAGGAGCCTCGGCTTTGACCTGGAGATGATGTGCCCCGGGGAGGGACTTCAGAAATAAACCTCTCTAACAGCCACAGGGGAGGAAGGGGCAGCCAGGAACTCATCAGGGGTAGGAAGAGAGGTGGCCCCACAGCCCCATGAGCAATCATGAAGGGGACGTCCTACCGAGCCTCAGTCACACCCCGCTGGTAGTGCCTCAGGAGGCTGACCTGAGGCTGTCCCATGGTAACCTACTCCAGAACAGCCCTGAGACCAGGATGGCAAAGAGAGCACAACTCTTCAGCTGGTTCATAGTGACTGCCTGGGGCGCTGCCAGGGGCTCAGGCAGCTTCAGGACCCCCGAGAAAAAGAACTGCCACTGATCAGTGCTGTCTGAGGTGGAGAGGAAGGAAGTGTGGCATTTATCCGTCCATCCACACCCATTCAATAAATGTTTATTCAGCACCAGGCACAAGTGCTATGAAGCCATCCTCTTTGCAGGAGCTCAGTTCTCAAAGGCTCAGCCCCAGAAAGAGCAAAAAGCCCCAAGCCCAGACTCCATTCTGCTCTAGACCTTCTCCCTTTGAGCTTCTCTGAGGCCTTGAAAAAGGTCTGCATCCCATTCCAGGGCACCAGGGAGGAGGTGCACCAAAAGGTGAAAACCTGTGGGGCAAAGGGTGAGGCCAGTTGCTGCTCCTCCCAGTCCCTGCCAGAGCCAGCCCCGGCAGGGCCCCCTGTCTGCCTCCCTGGCCCCTGGAGCCTGGGAACAGAGCGCAGCTGTGAAGGTGGGGTGGCAGCAAGAGGTCCCAGTGAGAACGGCAATACGAATCCCCCTAAAGGAAACACTTGGAGATATCCGAGGCTTGCTCTGAAAAGGCCGGCTGTTCGTCGCTCTGGCTGCTGGCCGTGACCATTTTGTAGCTCGGGAGACAGCATGGAAGGAGGAAGGCAAGTGCAGCCCCGGCTCCAGCCCCCTAGCAGGCTTTGCACGGCAGCACCTGTCTCAGCCGAGTCAGCCCACGTCTGTGCCCTTGTCACGGGCACAGCAGCGCTCTGTCTCTTCTTCCAGCTCCCGGCACAGCCCCTGCACATGGCTGTGCTGCCCATTTCTCAGGCCCTGGGACCTGCCCGCTCCTGCCTCACTGGTTGTGAGAAAGGGGAGATGGAAGGGTGGTAATCAGGACAAAACACAGGGCAGGACAGGGCCTTGGAGGACATGGTGAGGCAGAGGGAGGGAAGGAGGAAGTCCCGGGACCGAGTGGTGGGCCATGGGCATAGGAAGGAGTCCAGTGTGGGGAGATGGAACCCGCCTGGGGCCCCAGCCAGGCCGTGAGCCCAGAAAAGGCCCAGGAACTGGTGGAACCCCCTTCTCAGAACTTCAGCCTCTCTTCTGGGACAGTCTGAGACCAGAGCCAGGAAGCAGTGCAGGTTATGTGCACAGAGGTTTTAAAGAGCCTCGTAAGGCTCGGCCTGTGAGCTGGGGAGATCGACTCTGGGGCTGTTCCGTGTGGTTTCAACCTGCCGAGGGGAGGAAGCATGAGTGCTATAGAAACCAGGTGTGCACAGAGGTACACACATGGGCCTCTCACGCAGGTCCCCACGGTCCCTGGAGAGGATCCCGGTGTCCCTCTGTGGCTGGTGGCTGATGAGCCATCGCTGACTGGCATTCAGGGCCAGGACCCAAAGCAAATGACAAAGCAAGGAGGGTGTGCCGAAAACAAACCTGCAGGTGGCTCAGGGACCACGAACACTCTGCTGCCTGGGAACGCCCTCCCGCAGCCCCAGAAGGGTGGCTCTTCAAAATGTTTCTTTTGGTGGTTTTCTTATATGGTTGCTTACAGAAAACTGTTTAGAGACTGATGATGACATCTGAATCTATCTGAAATGAAATTCCATGAACAGGGAATGCACCCAAGTGTGTATCTAGAGGTGCCTATGGGCATAAGGGGGGGCATGTGCGCTCATGCACGTGCACAAGAACACAAGCTGCTGTACTTGGGGAAGAAGCTGGAATAGAAAAGAATAGCATGAATGTATGATCCGTCATATACATACGCATGCACATGCGTGCACACACACCCAGCCCTCCACATTTTTGGCACAGCCTGTATCCCTTATCAGTGATTCTAGGTCACTTTTTTGTCAGAGACCTAAGCCTGCTTAAACTAGTGGCTCTCAGTCTTGCCGGCGTATCGGAATCACTTGGGGAGCTTTTACAAATCCCCATGCCCAGCCACACTTTAGGCCAATACCTCAGATTTTCTGCAGATGGGACTTGGGCATTAATAGTTAATATCAATATTTAATGATCTCCTCAGGTGATTCCAATGTCCTGCGAGGGCTTAGTATTCTTCTGCGTGGAAAACTTCTATTTGTTCTTCAAGACCCAACTCCCCCAGCCCCTCTCTAGGAAAGGCTTTCTTGATACCTCCCAGGGAGAGTTCGTTTTTTCTTTCTTGAAGTTCCCAACAGAATGCTCACCTGACTGCATCATAATTATTTCCTGTCTCTCTGTCTATACAGAACCATGAGTTCTGGGAAGGCAGGCACTACGGGGGATCTATTTCTGTATTACCAGCACCTAACTTAGTGTCGACACGCAGCTGATGATTGATAGATGCTTTGGAATGAAAAGGGGGTGCGTAGTAAGGCCATAAGCAGGAGAGGCCATGGATTGTCTCTGGGCGGTAAGGCCGTGGGTCCGGTCCCCTGGCAGCGGGATGGGGGTACTCCCCTCCTGACCCTTTAGTAATAGAAAGTTACTAAAACTTTTTTTAGTAACACAAAGTAATGGTGCCAACAAGTTTGATGCCGATTGGTCCACATTTCCTGCTTCCCTAGGAAGTGCCATAAGCGTGACTCAGAGGTTCAGAGGGACGACTCAGTGGGGCTGTGACCTGTGTCTAGAGTCCCAGAGTGACTGACCCTTCCTAACTGTCCCTCCTCAACCCCCATTCCAAGTCCACACTGTCTGGTTGGCTTCCAAAAGCGTATGAAATCGGAATCTATCTGCAAAGGAATTCTCTTACCTAGGAATGTACGCAAGTGTGTGCTTGGAGGTGCATGTGCACACAAGAAGGTGCGTGTGTGGTGTGTGCTCTTGGGGAGCTCTGAGCAATCTTGGCCCCCTGGTTCTTGGTCCTCGGCAAAGGACCATGCAGGGGAAACATGACTGCGAGAAGAGGAGGCTTCTTAGAGCCAGTTCCACCCACAGACACTCCAGCCCCAGCCCAGAAGCCTACGGAGCAGACAGGTGAGGGCGACACTGGGAGGAACAAGGGAGAGATGTGCATCCTGCGTGAGCACAGCCTTCTTTCCTCATCACCTCCACTCTCCTGGGGAAGCCCCACCCTGCCCTGCCCCCCACACACAGCCCTTCCACGTAGTCCTCTCCTAGTTCTTATTACCACACACCCATCCACAATGGGCCCTTCTTGTCCCTGCCTTAGGCACTCCCACATGTCAAGGCTACTCAAGGACTTTGAGCTGGGACTGACTATGGGGCTGGAAAGGGGTTAAGAGCGCAAGATTTGGAGTGAGGCCACCCTTATTTGAGAACCAGCTGTCACTGACTGGCTCTGTCTCCTCGGGGCCTTGGTTTCCTCATCTGTAAAACGGGATTGAAAATACAGCTCCCACCCCGTACCTCATAAACCTGTGGTATGGATTAGGTGAGGCACGAAGTGGAACGAGCTCTCCACATGTTCCTGACCAGGCCTCCTGGTCATCCGTCCAGGCTGAGGCCATGGTGAGGGCGCCCTCTACCCCCTTACACACACAGACACATGCACTTACACTTACACACTGCCCGCTTCCTGAAGGGCTCCCAACCTGTAGGCAGAGACCAAGCTCTCTCCTCCCCTAGAGCCCTCCCAACTGACCGGCCAAAGTTCTGGTCACCCACAGAGTCCATTCAACACAAGCGTTTTCTTTACATGTTGGGACTTTTACTTCAATTTGAAGCAGATGGTTGAGCACAGACGTGAACAGCTTTGGCCTTTTGAGCAAAGAAAGGAGCAGGCCTTGGCTTTAAACATGCCCCACTCCCCCACATACTGGCCCATTCCCCTGGTCCCTTCCTCCCTCTGCCCCCTGCGTAACTGGTTAGAGAACACTGTCCTCCAAGCAGGGCGCCATCCTGTTCGCCCAGCAAGGAGGGTGGGCCACGGGCAAGGAGTGGCCTGGTGGGGAGCAAAAACCCTTACGGAGGTCGCCTTACGCCCTTCCCATGATGCTCAGGGCCCAAGAAGAAGCCTGGGTCCAAGGAACACTGAGAATCAGGGTCAGAGACCTGGGCAGCCAATAGGAGGGAGCAAAGGGGGCCGGGATCTCAGATCCCACTCCCTCCAGGAGCCCCCGGCACCACAGCCCCCAGGAGGCTTATCCTGAACCCAGCCAACTCAGGGTCCAGTGTAGAGAGGTCCAGGTCAGAAGGTCAGGTGCTTCTAATGGTCACCAATGTCCATCCTTTCTGTGAGTTTCTGGTGGAGCTGCTGACTCGTCTTTGGCTTGAGATGGAACTCAGGCAACAGGAGGAGCAAAAGTCTTAGGGCAACACTGTGGGGTTTTTCTCACCCATTTTGTTCAGTGTCTCTGCGGTGTCTTTGGCAATGGATTTCTGCAGCCGGAGGCTGGGCCTAGGGCCCCAGGCAAGAGGAAGGCTGAGCTCTCCCCTCCCCACCAGGCCGAGGGCAAAGTGCAAAGTCCTGTGGAGTGGCTGGGGGAGGGCGGAGGCTGAGGGGGAGGCAGGCGTGCTCCTGTCTGACCCTGAGAGGCAGTGGTCTGAGTTTCGGGCGGCATCTTGAAGAAGATGAGGCTGGACTTGGTGAGCTCACCTTATCCTCAGGCTCTGCGGACAAGAGGGCACACAGCAGTGCCCTTGGTCTAGGCCAGGGCCAGTCACTCCTGAAAGAAACAACCAACCGTCAGAAGCTGCCCCTGCTCATCCTGACTTTTGTTTCCATAGGTCGACTGGACCAGGAGCCGGCAGCACCCCTAGCACCTCCTCTCACTGAAACATCACAGCTTCCCTGGGAGGGACTCCTATGGCTCAGGCAGGGGACTGTGCCTGGAAGGCTTCAGAGAGTGGTTGAGCAGCATCTGGACCCAGGACTGGCTGTCTCCAGGGCCCACACTGTCCCCTTACCCTCCCCCTGCCTTTGGCATTTCAGAGCCACTGCTGATGTGTTGGTTTGGGGGAACGGGCAGGGCTGCAGAGGCTCGAGGGAGCGCAGGGACTGGTCCTGAGACCACAATGCCCTGTCACGCCTCTGAGGGATGTGACCCCGCAGGAGTGGCCACCCGCAGCTCCTTCCCCTACACTGTCCGACCAGAGCACTATACCAGGTGTCGAGGGGCCGGCTAGCTGCGGCCCATCCACCTGACAGCTGGGTGGCCCCTCGTCACCTGAGACAAGCCACTTAACTTTCTGCCCCTGAGTATCCTCATCTGTACAACGACACAACTGGAGCAGGTCAATAATGTTCAGGCTTTTTTTTTAAGCATTAGAGGCGAAGTCTGAGTTGTGGATCCTAACACGGAAAACATGGGCCTGGTCTACTTGGAGCATCAGGGTGAGGGGGACACACTGAGAGGGGGACCCAGCAGCCTGCCACAGTCCCTGCAGCGCTGCATGACCTGGGACATGTTGAGAACCCAGGGCTGTAAGAAGCATGACTGGAAAACACTTAGGTAGACCACCCTCAGGTTCCTCACAGACCTGGCCTTCGGAAATTTCACTCTGGCAGCTGAACTTGGTGTTGCTTGTAAGAACACTGACCAAAGGGTCTGACCTGCCACGAGGAAGGGCCAGGAGATGGGGACGGTCATGGGGGCTGCTGGGGTTTGAGCTTTCGGGGAAGGTCAGAGCTGGTGGAGAGGCTCGGTGCGGGCTCCAAGTCCACCCCGAACACGCGAATGAGTAAAGGCAGCGAGTAAACCCGGCCCAGCACATCCCTAATTAAGCATTTCCGAATACTTCTCTCCGGATTCTTGTAACAACCCTGAACAAACAGCTAAGCACTTATTTTTGAAACGACACATCTGTCGGGCACCTCCCACATGCCGGGTCGCTGCCTCACACCTCCAACTCGGAGGGGAGCAGTCCCCAGCTCTGACTCCGGGAAAGAAGCTAGAAGTTGGCAGCATCAGGTTTGCATCCAGCTGGGCAGGGCTGCTCCTGCTGAAATGGAGGCCGGGGGAACCGGACGGAGCCAAACCACGAGGCTGGAGGGCCTGAGGGCCTATGAGCCACAGACCTGGAGCACCCCGCTCCACAGGCAGCCAAGGCGTGAGGCTGGGGCACGGCTGAAAGTGGGGTCCGAGGAGGGCAAGGGAGCTGGGCTGGGAGGAGGGCGTGTCCTCTGGCTGAGAGAGGCTAAGAAGCAAAAAGAGAAATGCGGAAGGAGGGAGCATCTTGATGTGGTGAGTCCAGGCTCACAGTTGCCCAGCCCACTGTGGCGGTGGCTGGCCCCAGCCGGAATCTGCTTTTTGTTACTGAGTCTGAGGAGGAGGATTAAGAAGCAGGAAAGGAAACCCGTGGGGATGGCACGGGGTCTGTGGTCCACGGGTGATTTACAGCCCAGCCATCCTGGCGCGGGATGCCTGGGCGGGCCCTGGCGAGGACAGCTGAGCTCCTCTCTGATTCAGCGCGCCTGTGATCTCGGGAAGGTGTAAAAGGCTGGGTCAGCTGGAGTGGCCCCGGGCAGCTGGGGCCCAACCGCAAGACCTCTATCAACTCTCACATCCCACTGAAGCCACGGCTACCACCCAAGAGCAAGGAAGATGGGGTTTCACTTGCCAGGGCCTGACCTTCAATTCTTGACCCCACTTTTTCTCTCAAGTCTACGCTGGACTTGTATTCCTACCACCCACCTGGGCCTAGGAATCCTGGCACATGTATCATCCATCCAAGGAACCTTAAATTCATTAGGGCGTGGTGGGAAGACCACTGGGAGGTCTCAGGTGCCAGGACTGTCTCTGCGATTAACCAGCTGTGTGACCTTGGGGAACTCCTTCCCTCTCTGTGCTTTAATTCCTTCACTTGCACACCAAGGGGGTTGTGTGTGGATTCGCACTCCTCGAAAGGTGCTCTGTGGACATTAGTCAGGTGAGATTTCTCTCATGAGTTTGGGAAACAACGCAGACCTTGGTCCCATCCTACAAAGTCACTATGTCTTAGTAGCATATTAAAGGTTCTGTAAAGAAATTCCTGTAGCTTTATTTACCCACTATTTTCTGAACCTATGTGATTGTTGATGTGATAGCAACTATATCATGAGTAGAAACTCACTCAACCTTCTGATAGAGTGAAGCTTATTTAAGGCTACACAAGCGCCAGTGGGAAGCCTCAAGAAAGGCAGCAAAGGGCTTGCAAACCTCAGTAGGGGCCATCTGTGGCCCTTCCCTCTGGGTGCCAACCAAAACCAGCATAAGGTCACGTTCAGAGATCTGCTTCTTTACTGCCTGACTACCAACTGACCCAGTCTCTCAGCATCTGAACCCCAGGCGCCTAGTGGAGACCCCGGTTGGTCCAGCCTCAGTCATATTTCTTTCCCTGAACCGATCAGCTGTGACTGAGGAATAGGAGACAAAGTTGCCTAAGCCTCAGAAGGAGCTATGTGGGCGTGTGAGGGTCTGGGGTGGGGGGCACGGTGGTGAGTATGTGTACATAACTGAAAATACAGGGGCGGAGGCTGACAAGTACTCCCCACTATGACAACTATACCACGGACACCTAGCAACATCACCTCTGTGTGGGAAGCACAGCTTGGGAAGGCCTCTGGCATCCCTCCCACTCTGGCCTTTTGTGGGTGCTGTTTCTGCTGGAGGCCAAGGCTCTGGGCAAGGCCGGGTAAGGCTCTTGACTCATTGTCCTAAGGAGCCCCCGGCATCACAGCCCCTCACTACAGAAGATGCCCTTTCCTCAAAGGATCTGCTGCTAACCCAAACTCTGAAAACAACTATACAAGACAGCCTCTCCAGTGCCTTCCAGCTGGTCGAACGTGCTGAGTCTGATTGAAGCAACTTGGTCAGTGTGGCAAAATGGCTGAGCTTATGACATTCAGGAAGCATCTCTCTGTTCAATCGTTTGTAGTCAGAACATCAGCCCCACGAGAACCGGGACGCGGTCCATCTTGTTCGCTACTATAGTCCCAGTGCTTAGGACAGTGCTGGACATACAGCAGTAGCTCAATAAATATTTGTTGAATGAGTAAGTGTTTCTAGTTTCAGGGATTTTATTTACTGCAGCTTTTATATACCACAAGATATGTCTCCTATTTCAAAGGTAACATTTGAGCATTTCTGTAAATGCTCCTGTGCTTTAGGGGAACTTTTAGTATTTATTGTCAACTCTGGAACAATTTTGCATCTTTTTGGCTTTTGTTCACTTCCAGAGTTTTATTCCTAATTACACATCCTCTGCTTACCAAGTTTGCCTATGGCTTTAAGTGGATTGGGTTCCTCTCTCTTGATCACTTCTGGGTGCTGCAAGGTAATTTCACCACATGGGGGCATTAAAAAAAAACAACAATTTTCTCTGCCTTCTAAATTACTTTACCCTTTAAATTCATTTTCAGTCACTGATGTCCAATTTTACCTACTTAACCATTTTTTACTATTTTCAAATTAGACATTTTCTTATATTTAAGCAATTCAGATACAGCCTTCTACCTGCAGAAAAAGTAATCCAACAGAATTTAAATTCTAAAAGATTTTTAAATTGTTTTGTCCTAAAAAGAGAAGTCAGATTTCAAATGTTAAAACTAAAATATGAAAGACAAGCAAAGAGAGTATGGGAGAAGTATTTCTCAAGACCCGCACTATTAAGCCTTATTTTACCTTTAACTTTTAAAAACACCAATGTGTGATCTAGGAAGGGGGTTTCATGTCCCATTCTGAATGCTGAACACTAGAGTTCATTATCTTGGCCACAAAGTCAGTGGCTGTGGGGCCCTGGGCAGGCTGGTTAATCTTTCCAGGCCTTGGTTTCCTCATTTTAAATCGAGCACAGTAGTAGTACCCACCTTCTAGATCATTTTCAAAGAATCAATGAGACCCCGCTGGCTGACATTCCTACAAAGAGTCACAGTTGGACTAACTGGGATTTGAAAACACAGAATAAACAGGCAACAGAATCTTAAAACAAGTAACCAGAAATAGTCACTTTGAACTAACTGTCATCTTGACTGATTTGATTTCAATGTAGTCTTTTTAAAAAACAAACACAATTTTTAAAATTATATATGCCTATCATCTGTCAAATGGAAAACCAAACTATGGTGTATGTATATAATGGAATATTATTTAGCCATGAAAAGAAATGAAGTACCAACATACATGATAAAACATGGATAAACCTTGAAAGTATGCTAAGTGAAAGAAGCCACACACAAGAGACCACATATCATCTGATTCCATTCACACGAAATGCCTAGGACAGGGAAATCTACAGATTAGCAGTTGCCTAGCGTCAAGGAGGAGGCGGGACTGGGGCAGTAGGTGACAGCTAAAGCTTACGGGGTTTCTTTTTAGACTGATGAAAATGTTTGGAAATTGACTGTGGCAATGGTTGCATGTATCTGTGAAAATACTAAAAACCACTGAAAGGGGGAACTATAATCTTGATAAAGCTGTTAAAAATGTGCATAAGTAGCGCATGTTAATTATAGAAAAATTAGAAAATACAGAAGAGTGAACAGAAAAAAAAATTTTAATCACCTCAACCTCCTCACCAAGAGAAAACCCCTAATAACTCTGGGTGACTAGTTCCCTATGCTTAAATACACCCACATAGTATTTTATGAAAGTAGAGTTATATTGTGCAAACTGCACCGTAAGCTGCTGTTTGTATTTTCTCTAACAGCCCATACATCTTTGCACTTGGCAGATCTGCTTCCACATCT